AACTGCTGTTCGGAGATATGAAAACATTTCAGGAGTGTCATCTCCCCCCGCTGGTACTTGATTGGTCATGTTGAGGTGGAGTCGTAAAAGTCCCTGCAGTACTAACGAATAGGCAAGCATAGTTGTCAACATATTTCAGTATATAGTACTGTACTGTACTGTCGGCGATGTTTCTTTGTTACAAGACTAATTCATCAGACAGCGTGTAAGGTATAAGACTGTATGTGTGGCTGAGTATTTCCCTGTGCTTTACCTCTTGATATTGGTGCCGTTGTAAACATGTAGTTGAAGGCCAAACAATTATGCCGAGTATATAAAATAATGAGTTGAAAACAGAAATGTATTGAAAACAAAATGATGTTCACTGAAGCGTGGCTAAAGACAAAGACACACAACCGAAATTAGTTAGAGTCGCTACGGGGGGTGCAAAATTGAAACTGATTGGTCCGAAAAAAACTGCTGTGATTCTTGATCAGGCCCCAAAATCAGAGCATTTTACAAAATCTATTTTAACAAGCCAAAATCACACTTAGGGTTTTCATATTGAAATAGTTTTCACAAAAACAAACAGTTAGCAACAACAAATAGCGATGACCGGCACAAAGCAGGACTTAAGTTGAACACAAAAAGGGGTTGACCCTGACCCTGGTTGAGTGTGCAAAGGACTCAATAGGAGTATCATGTCATGTATTGCCATATATGAATATGTGTCAGCACTAGCACTTGCAATTGCTAAACAGTGACATTCAAACAACAGTGACATTCAATGTCCGGAATTGTCTCTGGCACACAAACATTTAAATAAACAATGCTTTGGAAAGGTGGAAAAGTTGTATCAAGATCATGAAGTGGTTTGAGAAAACCACAAAGTTGAGTTGGAAGGCAAAATTGTTTGAACATTTGTGAAGTGGTTTGAGAAGGCAACAAAGACACCTGCAAAGTTAGAGAAGCTGTTTTGGTCGAAAAGTTTTATGAAAGTTCTGAAAGTGGATTGAAAGCCAACAAAGACGTTGCCCAGCAAGAAAATTGGCGTTGGAAACAAGGAAACAATTAATTAAGTTGTCTGTATGTCGTGAAATACATATGCAAAGTTAGAAATCTTATATTGGAAACCTAGAAAAGCTATGGTGGATGGGAAAGTTGTATGAAAGTTGCTTTGAAAGACTGGAAAGTTTACAAACTTTTGCCGATTTTTCAAACAACACTGACCATTTAAAGTAACATTCACGACCTTGTTGTGATCATATCAAACCGTTTTACAAAGCTTGATAGAACATACTTTTGGGAGCAACCCTTGTCACATTGGGAAAATACTTTATAGTTGATTCAAACTGCTTTCCATACTTTGAGTTGGCTTTCCGTCTTCCAATGAAATATTTTTAATTTTGTTGGCAGTTGTTTGAGTTGTTTTCAAGGACTTTGAATTTCCAATATATACTACTTTTTTATAAACAATCTCCTCGACCAACATTGCAAACTTTCAATCAAATTATTCCACAATACATACAAGTTTCCATTGTCCAACTTGCAGACAACTTTTTCATCATTTTCAATCACTTTCTGAATCTTCTCACTACTTCTGTCCCTTCTTCCAGGCATGTCTTTTGTTCATTCGGCTTAGAGCCCGAACATGCGAAACACTAAAAAATATAAACCTCAATAAAACGCAGCGTCGCAATCCAAAAAATGAGTCTAGAGGTGACTATTCAAAAATAATCGATATCGATATGCTGTGGATGCCGATCGGAATATAGTCTTGAAATGAAATCAAAACAAATGTGCTCAAAGATCTTTTCAACCGTCGGTCAATCGGTGGCAGTTAAGTGTGTGATAATGGCCATCAGTCTCAAACGGTAAATCACTTTACCGCCTCATCGCAATCAAGTCATAATATATTATGTTGTCAACTGCGTTTGATGTAAATCAGCTACCGTAACCATAAAGTGCTAGGACCACGCAAACACGTAAAGCAATCGCATTTTAAAACCAATTCGCTCATCATAACAGAGAAATTAGTCTTTATTTTTGACTGTTAAGGTGTACTTAATGACGATCTGTTGTTTATCCGGGCATTATAAAACATTCATCTCGGAAGATCATCGCGCTTCATTCACATTCACATTGGCCAATTTACTGCCATGCATTCTAAACACATTGTGAATTGTCTAGACGTTTCGTAAAACATTTATAAATATTGTACAAATTCATGGAAACAGCAAATTCTCACAATGAATGATGAATAATGAATGAATACAGCTGTCCCTTAAGTTAAGACAGAATCCTCTAGATGCTGATCCGTTGTAGATTTATTATATGGATCTTTTTTTTCCGTTTTAGATTTATTTTTGCAGACAGAGACATAATGTTTACTTTATCACTGTCAGAATATACTTATATGACAATCTGCATACACAGAGCATTGTTCTCGCAATAACTAATAATTGAACACTCCTAGTGGGAATGAGCTCCCCTACAATTTGAAATCTGGAATTTTCATAAAACAGGCTTAATTATAAGTAATTTTGTAAATTTATAAGCGCTCACCAGCACATATAAAATTGATTTATATGTGAAAATTTATAGTAGAAAACGCTTGTCCTATCATGCTGTGTAATATGGTCAGCAAAAAAAAGGAGACATTTGATTTACTCGATGTACATATGATTTTACTGCAAACAATTATTCTTTCATTTGGCGTTCAGATTAAAAGTTGTATTCGGAAATAATGTATTCATAGATCATGATTGGTTAGCAAAGTATAAACATTATATACAATCTGACATAACTAGTAGAAAAACACAGAAAATGGATAACGACAAGTATGTTAAAGCGGGAGTCGTCATCTGCGCATGCGCAAGATGGCCATAGCGTGTCATTGTTTACAAACAAGCGTCTACCCATGAGCTTTTGCATTGTTAGCATGTGTTGTTATCGCTGCTTGGTGACGACCCTCCCGCTTTAAGATTATTCAACATGACTATGGATCGGAATGCATACAACAGCGAAGTCTTGTAAATGTTTCACTTTACTTTTTTGAATGTTAAATTAAATTAAAGCTTAGACCATTAAAAAGTAACGACAAAACAATAACTACACAAGGAATGGACTATCTATAACAGCACTCCCGCCAGCAAAACTTCCCTCATTGGACGATACTGTCTTAGTTCTTAAAATATGGCCGCATGTAGAATTGAAGGGTACATTTTCACCATTACTGAAACATAAAAACAATGTGAGTTAACAATTCATTCATTTGGTGATGGGATAATTTGCTCCTTTAGTATCAGTTAGAATATTTTTTGGTCACAAATCATAAATGTTTCAAAAATATTCGTGATATTGTAATACAAACAATTCATTATTATAGCTTGATATTCAAACTCTGATCAAAAGTTTCCACCAAAGTAACACGATGTGATTATGTGTTAATATGAGGTTATTACGAGAATACCCCAAAGTATGCAGTACAGCGGGAGTATCGACCGACACGCAGCGGAGATCGATGCGACGGCGTACTGTCTAAGTTCATAATTTCGGGTATCCTCGTAAATGACGTAATTATAATACATGTTTGCCTTCCAAGAATACATCATGGGAATGCTGAAATCCAAAAAGTTTAGAACAGAATCAGCGAACTCCTTTGTGTAGAATCCGGTCAATCTCTGGTGGCAGCAATGTTTGTTTTTATTATTAGAGGGCGCTTACATGCGTAATCATTCCATATTTGGAATTCGCATTTGCTTATATGATAAGATCAAAGTACCCCCGAAATTATGGCACGTGTGTCTTATGGCGTTACAGTGACAGATGTATAATAATGTTTAATACTTCAATTCACATCACACATTTCTTACCTGATAATTGCACCAAATATTCCAATTTCGCTGACCATTTTTCGGATTTCAACGTCCTTCTCACTTTGCACTGTATAGTTAGTAACTACAAGTGGTTCAATTTTGTCCATCAAGATGTACCCAGCTCGGCTTTTGTCTTCACCGATCTGTTCCAGCTTGGTCTTAATGTCCTCGCCAAATAGGTTATTACCTATTCATAGAAGATAAAGATATATTTGCAATTGCATGTCAATAGTGTATTAAGCATATCTCTAATTAACACATTTCCAATAGCTAGTAACTACAAGAACTGTCCAAACCCACCGTTAAACGAAAGGTTACCGTCCAATAACACAAATGTGGCAATGGTCACTGGAAGGGCATATCCCAGAAGAGGAAACATATTTGTGTATGTAATGCATAGATAATTGATGATGTGGTTGTACAGGAAATTGAAGCTGAAACATAAAGTTGTTGTCACTATTACCAGAATATAGTTTTGCATTATTTGGTTACTGTATATGTGACTGAATTGAGAATGACAAAGTTATTGTGAATGAGAGAATTTCAAAAAAGTGAATGGAAATTCATCCGTGAATTGATCCGTGTAGAACATTCCTCTGAGACAACCTAGACCTTTTCTTGACAGATTCTGAGTAAGGTGTGACCTCCTGACCCCCGATACACATGCAATCAGCATGTGACCTTGAAATGACCCTGACCAGGGGGCCTTGAGATGACCCTGACCTGGAGCTTTGAGATGACCCCGACTCAGCCTTCTGGGGGGGGTGTTTTAGTCCCACCCCCCTCACTGTTCAGTATCACCCATATAAAAGCAGCAAAACGTATAAACCTTGAAATGACCTTGATCTGAACTTGAACATTTCTGGAAAACATTGGCCCATCTAGTTCATGTTTAAAGACAATATGTACTGAGAAATCCTAGCTTCCAACTGATACAGTTATCTACTGGAGTCCATACATTATACATAGCCCATATATAACATATGGCAAAAATAAAAAAAATAAATAATAACGAAATAAACTTCCACAAAAATGGAGATATCTTCACCAAATGAACAAACTTGAGTGAGAACTTAGTTCATGTGTCTACATTATGAATTTCAAAGTAATGTGGCAGGTGGTTTCGAAGAAGAAGTTAAAAATAAGCAAATGTTGTTTTTTTTCAAAATGCCCTAAAAATAAACACTTGCAAATGATGCCATGAAAACAATAATTCTGAGTGTAATCAATGTAAAAAACATTCGTGGCACATTTCAAAGCAATCTGACAAGCGGTTGTGGAAAAAATCATTTTTAACCATAAATGACAAAAATATTTCCAAAAAAATAGAGGTTTACATGTGATGTCATGAAATGAACAAATCTGACAGAGCACCATCCCAGGAAGGTGTTGTATGAATAGACTAATGATTGATGGAGAAGTAGTCGTCGTAGAAGTTGATGGACAATGTACGACGGACGGACGACGACAGGTATGGTCTTCGATAAAAGCGGAGTTAAACATACACGGATCCATGGTATATATGAAGTGATGGCATGTGTTTCAAAATGAGTGAGCACATGTGAGCACATGTCGCAATCGCCATATATCAGTCATAATCAATTGTTTTCTGCAAAAAATCGGAGAGCATCATTATGTAATTGGTGGGATAAAGTCACATGACGTCGTTACCATAGTTGCCTTAGTTATTATAAATTAACATAAAGTAATATTTAAGTGCATTGAATATGTTTACCTCCACCTTCCCGTTGTGGTTTCAATACATATATGTTTGGGTTCTTGAGAGCTTTTTGAACAGTTTCTGACCCTTCATCATTCTGAAATAATATAGAAAAAATAAACAGTGAGTCATGGCATGGCTAGACGCATTTTCTGAGGTGTGACTTGTTTCATCGTGTTCATATGTTTCTATAAGTTGGCTGTAATCCTATTTTACAGCGATCCCACAAAGTGACGTAATAATTACTATTTTAATCATATAAAAGTTTAGAAGCACTGATCACTAATCGTATACGGGTTTTAACAAAGTACATTGACAGATAACAGTACATTTACACATATACATAGGTCATAGTACGATAAAATCTATACCAATGACCTGTATGATTGACAGCTGATGAAGGTCAAAATGTGAATATATATTGCTTGTATTTGTTTTTGTTGTTTTTTTTACAATTCCTAAAACATAATTATTGCATCTTTTTATTGACGAGGCATTTTATATCATTATAGCTCATAGCTCTATCAGCCAATCGGCTTTGCGCATTTGGCGGTCAGTATATTCGCGTATTGACTTCTCAGCGGTCAAAGACGTCGTATTAGGCTTCTGCGCTTGTGTAGGCGTTAATACAGATTTAAAAAATGATGATTCACCGTTAATGTTTATCGATGCCAGACAGTCGTTCGTAGCCAGTTGATAACTCCTACAGCAAGTCTCAGAAGTATTGGGGCAGCCAATTTGCAAACTCGCTAGCGAATTGGCTAACTGCTTGGGTTTTGACTAAACGGTTGGCTTTCGAATCTCGCTGCCGTCGTCTTGTGGTCACGCCCACTTAAGGCGAATCTATATAACAGTATGGGGACGATTCAGTAGGAGCTATTCGGCAACGGTCTTACAGTTGGATGGCGATTTCGCTTTCAAATATACCAGGGAAAGTGTTCTATGCTTCTTCCGTGTCCACACAAAAACGACGAATGAGGTCGATGTTTTCAGCGGTTGGCTTAATATTACCCCAACAGATCGTTTGAGTGTGAAAGTTTGTTATTTTCTCCCTGACTTGTAGGAAACTGTTTCTCAACTTGTCTATTTAGTGTCAAGCAGTGTTCAAGAAAGTTAACCTCATGTAATAAATATCTGTACACGCCAGCTGACTGTGGCCATTTTCAGGCTCAAATCATTC